CCCAAGTATCTTCGGTTACTTCTGTTAAATTATCCGTTTTTTTTTCACCTCTGTTGTATCTGTAAAGACTTTTGAAGATGTTAAATGTGTACTTATTGCAGTAGGTTTGTTTTTTTTTGCTGTGGGCAATTTTGTATCTTTAATTTATTAGTCGTTTTCAAATGAAAAAAAATGAGGCATATATTGCGTTGCTTTAAATAGATAAAATCTTTAAATTTAAATTAGCAAATTTATTTTTATGATATAGCGAAAATAATACTTGTATGTGTAACACCTTTTGGATACCCATTAACATAATGGCATATGTGCTCTTCACAACCGGGGGGGGGGAGGGAGGGGGGCTAGTGCAAAGACGCCCATAGAAACCTAATGTGCATCGTTGTGTGCAGTTCAACCCAACTCTTCCTAATGGACACTCTAGATAAAATGAAAGAATAACACAATGAATCTGAAATGAAACAAATGTTCTAAAATGTGTTTTAAGATCGATAATACGCGGTTTTTTCAGATGTTTCAAATATTATATTTCCGAAATATTTATAATAATTAAAAACTCTTCAAAAAGTTATAATGCGTTATATTGAAAATATTAGGGAATTTTTGTTAACGAAGACTGCCTGATTACCTAAACAGCAGTCACTCCGTTTATCAAAATTATAATTGTAATCACATATGATATTGTCCCTACAAGAGATATTATTATAATTGTAATCACATATGAGATTGTCTCTACAAGAAATATTATTATAATTGTATAACATATGATATAGTCCCTTAAACGAGATAAATTATTGACAAGCAAGTTCATGAAACAAGAATATCAACAGTCTCGATTAAAATCATCATTTCGTAAGTTCAATGGTCGATATAGTGACCATGTCAGCAAATACAATTTATCATTGAGTCAAATGCTGACTGACGTTTTTCATACTAATTTTAGTCCATTATTTATACACTGCATTAACGACGGATTTTTCCGTTATTTCTTGATCATGAAAAGGAGCACACGGCGGTTGTGACCCGTCAGCAGGGGATGCCCACTCCTCCATGTCACCTAATCCTACCTATGATGTTTCGGAGGTCCGTGTTTGCTCTGATCCTAATATGAATTGTTTTATGGACTTTGAGATTGAATACTGTTCGTTATCTCTATATCCTTCTTGTACAAACATTAAAGTTGACCAAATTAAATGTTAGAATTTATAATCAATATTTCTTTTGTTTTGAAAATTATCTGGTACGCTTATGATAATAAATATATCTTAATTGTATATAACTTCACTCACTGTGCACGAAAATCATATATATAAAATATGGTTTAGTCTCGTATCTTCCTCTTATATGATAACAAGGACGTAACAAGTATAAGAGGAAGAGGGCAATCTGTTTACAAATCGAGCTGAAAACTCAGTTTTTGAAAAGAGCAAATTCATGTTTTCTAGCAATGCTATTTTTATCGGCCTAATGACACACACTTTGAAAATTGTTTCTTATCAGTTTGAATTCGTAAATTATATGTTAAAGTAACGTGCCATTGATCAAACACATAAATCAACTGAAATCGTCATGCCTGGAATACCAGAGGTGATATCAATTGCCAGGAAGGAGTTGGTATCCTAAGAAAACACATGCGTCTTTAGTCTAAAACATGAATTCTACATGGAATTTAATCTAAATACAATTTACATGTACATTGTTGTTGAAGCGTTGTTTAATCTGTAAATAATGAAATACAAGTAAAAGATTACTGCACTTTCATAAAAGATATTTCGATGCAATTTAAGAATGTATTTCCTATTTCTCAGTCAGGTTACAATCCCCGTGATTATTTCCCTTTATTTGATTATTTTTCAAAATTGGGTCTGATTGGAATATTACATTTAATAGTTAATTCTTTTTTCTCAGAGATGAACTAAATGATGCATAAAGCAGCTGTTATAAAATTGTGCTTGGTATTATCTCTACTATCAAACAACTGTTGAACATCGGCTGCTTTAAAGTGGTAATAATGCACGTATTCCTTTCAGTCTTTATTGTGCATGAGTTTCTTAGAACTGGATATAGTTTAAAATGGTTATATCTTTAAGGGAAGGATATAGAGATAACGAACAGTATTTAATTCAAAGTCCATAAAACAATACAAAATAAGAGCACAGCAAACAAGGACCCCCGAAACATCAGAGGTGAGATCAGGTGCCATGTAGGAGTGAGCATCCCATGCCGACCGATCACACCCGCCGTGTGCTCCTTATCATGATCAGGAAATGACGGAAAAATCCGTCGTCAACTCAGTGTATAAATAATGGGTTAACAATTTGTATGAAAAATGTCAGTCAGCATTTGAGTCGATGATAAACTGTATTTGCTGACAAGGTCATTGTATCGACCGTAGAAGTTACGAAATGTTGACTTTAAACGAGACTGCTGATATTCTTGTTTCGTCAACTTGCTTGTCAATAATTAACCTCGTTTTAGAAATTGTTCATACGTAGAGCATGCTCTTGCGTATCGAATCAACTGAGATATATATAATCCGTATGCAGCTGATGAAGGTATATTGCTGCAAAAGTAATGGAAGTTGACGATAGAAAAATTAAAGTCATTACGTTTGTCATATAGCTTGGTTGTTAGATTACCATTAGTTTCTTTTTCAAGTAAAATATCCAAGTATGAAACAGAAGTTTCGGACTTTGTTGTACCTTTTATTTCAAGCTCACCAGGATATATCGTATCGAAATAGGAATGGAAATTACCATTATTAATTGACAATACGTCGTCGATATATCTAAATGTCGAGTTGAAGGTCACAACAAGTGTTTTCTTCTTTTCACGCATAAGATTTTGCATAAATTCTGCTTCATATGAATATGAAAATAAGTCTGCTTATAACGGAGCGCAATTTGTACCCATGGGAAATCCAATAGATTTTTGAAATACCTGGTCTTCAAAAACCACATTGATGTTGTCAATCAGAAACTCAAGCATCTTCTTGATGTCAGCTTCAGAGTACTAATGTGTGCAACCAGAATCTGTTTTAACAAAATAATTTTGCAAATGACCAATAACGAGGTAAGTAAATTTACGTGTTCCATTTTTATTGAAGAAGCAGCTGTCAATGATATCAAACAGCCTGGATTTTAATTTATAGTGGGGAATTGTTGTGTATAAGGTTGAAAAGTCGAAAGTTTTTAAGCTGTTGATTTTCGTAAAGTCTTGTGATTTCAAAGTGTCCAAGAGTTTCTTTATAATTTTGTAGTATCCACATCTGATTCACACCACTTCTTGAATAAATAGTTGCACAGTACTCTTGAAGTTTTTCTTCACTACTGTCAATATCTTAGTGAGGAGTAACGAAAGAGGCTTGGTTGAACATTTACTGGAACCTGCAATGTATCTTTGTTTGTAAGGATTCTTATGAAGTTTTGGAATCCAATATAAGGTAGTTCAAATTCATTTTGGCTCTGTGGAATATTAAAAGTATTCAACACTGATAGGAGATTTTGAAGAATTTCTTCCTAAGAAAGGGAAGTGTGAGTAAAAGTAGGATGAATTACCACTTGTAGAATTAAATCCAAGTTCTTCTGGAATGGAATTTATATAATGAGCCTAACAAAAAAAGACAATGTTGTTACCTGCCTTGTCGGCAGAAACCAGTAACGATGCCCATTGCTACGCGTTCATCTCTAAGGGAAGTAGAAGATAGAAAAGTTAAAATCATCATGTTTATCATCGAGCTTGATTATAGATTACCATAAGCGTCTTTTGCAAGTAAAATATCGAAGTATGATACAGATATGTCAGACTCTGTGGTATCATTTTTTAATACCCGTTCGTGTATTAAATGCAGTTTTAATCGAAATCTATTCACCTCAAATGTAAATATAAGTAATAAACAACATTGTTAAAAAGTTTACCGGGAAATAAACCTTTATCTAGTACGTGATCAAATCTACCGAAAAGCCCTTCGGGCTTCACAAGATTTGATTACTTGACCAATTCAAAGTTCATTTAAAAAAAACTTTTTAACTTTTTTTAAATTTAGGGACACACATAATTTGCAACTGTGTTTAAGTATCATAGATAAATTATGGAGATAAAGAACAGTATCCAAGCTCTAAAGACCATTGGAACAGTACAGTCGAGACCATTGGAACAGTACAGATCGAGACCATCGGAACAGTACAGATCGAGACCATTGAAGCAGTACAGATCAAGACCATTGGAACAGTAAAGATCGAGAGTCAAGCAAAGACAGGTCTCATTTTCATTAGAGATTGAATCAGGTGCCATGGATGCTACACATCTCCTGCCAGCTGATCACACCTGCCGTATGCTCCAATTCATGCATAAATGGGCAAAATGAAAGTCAGTAGTTATACAATGCTCTAACAGCTGCATAAAAAAGTGAGCATTCAACTGATGATATATTATATTTGCTAAAAATGTCATTCTTTTGAAAATAGATCTAGTGAAATGATGACTTTAAACAACGTGTTTTTTCAAGAGCTTACCTCGTTTAAAAAATGTTTATATGAAAAACAAGCTTTATTGTATCGTATTATCTGGGAGATAAAATCAAATATAATGATTATGGCATATAGCTACACATGAAAGGACATTTGACGAAAGGAAAATTGAAGTCCTCACGATTATCATGCAGGTTTGTTGCTGAACAATTATTACAGTTTTTCTGGTAATATACCGTAAATCTGGAAATTTTTGCGTTAGATACATTTTTAGCAAATTTGCGAATTCACTGCAGTCCCAAAAATATTTTTCTTAAAAATAGATTACTAATAAGGAAATGTAAACAAAGCAGTGGTCATTCCCAAATTTTGAAACGTAAAAATTAATCAACAGCATTTTGACCCGAATTCGCAAAATAAAATCGATGTAAAAATTTCCAGATTTACGGTATCAATCTGAGCGATGTCACAAATAAACATTTCCACTGCTAATAGCAGCCTTAGTCTAAATATGAAAATATATTTGGTGATTTTTCATGCTTTCAAGGGAAGGACAGCAAATATAAATTAATGAGAATTATATTTTATAGGATTTCAGATTAAGAATAGCTGTAAATGGTGCAGTGTTCAGAGAGAATGACTTCCAGACAATACCAAGGAGAACAATATTTGAGCCACGTATTTTAAGTCAGATTGTTTCCAATGATATATGCTAGTTTTTCCATGTCAGGTATCCATTGCATCACATTAGAGAGAGTTTGCAAATTGTTCCAAATCAAGATTTTGTGGCGTACTGTAGTCGGATTGTCTTCCATTCCTTTGTGGTGTACTGTAGTCGGACGTTCGTCCACTCCTAACCCGACGTTCCCTGTTTGACAGAGGAGTATATCCTCGGTCCATTGTTCCGGCGAAATGAAGAGTATTCATGTTGTTGGAGCACACCTGCTTTAATCCTGCTCAGGAATGTAAACAGAAATGTTATAAAATCTTCAAAGAGTACGATTAAGATATAATAATTTGTCCACAGATTTAAGGTACTTTCTCATTGTTTAGTACAAAAAAATTACGATATGTGAAGAATATTCTCTATCTAATGGAATAGGTAAAGATCTCAAAAGTCGTTTTAGCAATATAGATTGTCTTTTGAGTTATCTTATGCGTCATAAATGAGTTTATAAATTTGGTCTATCTTTGGCATACATATGTGTTTTTGAGTAATTTAAATCATACCGATAGGAAATTCCGTTCTTCTGGTACGCTTTACTGTATAATACCTAGAAAACGAGTGGAATTTTTTCTATAATACTTTGCAATAATTTTTCCTTCAATAATATTTATCAATTCAGGCCTACAAATATGTCTGCACTCTTGTAATCAAGATATATAAATAGTTTATATATATAGCACGAGAAATTTTATAACAAATAATTTGTTTTTCTTTTAAAGGATACATGATCTGAAGTAAAGAATTTTTTTGTCGCATAATTTCTTTTTCCAATTTAAAAACTTAAAAAATGATAAAGAGATAAAAACAACTATGTGAACATACATCAGTAGAGGAATTAGAATGACGACACAGCAAACTATCATAAATAAGGAGATGGTTATCAACCGTAGATGCCTAGATATCTGCTGTAACTCCTCTCCATTGTATTCACTATTCACAGTATAACCTAAATACGTATCATTGCGCTATCATTTACGACGTTTTATTCTTTTAATGTCTGCAAATTAAATATGTTGTCTTAATTGTAAACGGATGAAAACATTAACAGGAATTAAAATATACAGTTTAATTGAAAAAAAGAACAAAAACTTTTTCCTTTGAGTTTTATATGCTAGATATTGTTATAATAATAAAACAAAAATTAAGGTTTCAAAAAAATAATTTTGTTTCCGTATTGCAGATTTTTGTCAGTTAAATTTGTTAATACGTACGTTGGGGATTTTCTTCTGAAACATGTGGCCAAGAGGTTACTCTCATGGATAAGATTAGAACTTTTGAATCTGTCAGAGGAATACGACATCAAATTATATAATTTCACGTATAGTTAACTTAAAGGAGTGACAATAATACAAAAGAGACAGACAGACAAACAGACAGACCTGTGCTTGTGTTTACTCTTAGTTTGGTTCTCTCGTTGATTGTTTTATTCTTCTCTGTTACTGCTGACATCTTCGTATTTTCTAGTGTTATTCAAAGAAAACTATAGTTTAAATATAATTTATGGATGCAAATCTCATGTATTGAAGATATATACTAAATAATTGTGTGTTAAAGGATATTAAATTTTAGGGTTATATTTACCATGCATATGATCTGTTGCCCCTTTCTCCAAAGATCTGTGAATTCAAAATGTGTATGTTATGTTCTAATGTAGCAATTAGTTTAAAACTTTGTTCTGTTATTGTTATGTTTTTTTAACTATATATTTTGTAACTTTTAATTCTTTAAAACAATAATAAATTATACATCTCCATAGTCGATGATTCTAGGGTTGACTTGTCTTTTGTAGACAAACGCATTCCATGCTTTCTTGTTGAATAGGGTGAAATAGAGTGACCGATTCTCTCCAAATTGTACTCTTTGGGGGCTAAAAGTAAGAGTTGCATACATATTTCAAGTAATTGGTGTAGTTAAAAAAATAACGACAATAGTACAGTCAGGATATCATCGATTACATTAAGGAATGTATCTCCATGTATTTTATGTGGGTACACAAAATAATGAATTTCTTTCGAACAATATAATATTAAGAACAAGAAGAATACCTAGGATGGCAGTGCCTCCATTAGAGGTTGTTGCCAAGCATCCAAATACTGGGTTACAATAAATAGATTTACACGTGCATGCCAATCGACACAAATGTCCATAATATCCCTCTTTACAAGGTTCTTTACATCCCCAGCCTATTTTCCCGGGACTGCATTCTAAAAACGATTAAAATGCCTCGTAGAAAACAAATGACATGGACGATATAATCATGGAATTCAATGAGAATCTTTTTTCTGCAGATTTAAGTTGAAATTTTATTTTCAATATGTCTTCAGCTAATACAAGTTAGGATGAAGTCAAATACTGACTATGGTTTTCATACTAATTGTTAGACCTTGTTTTCATTTAGAATTGTCGATGGATTTTTTAGTTAGTTCCCGATAACGAGAAGAAACGCACGGCGTATTTGACGCTCGGCTACATATGCTCACTTTTCCAAGGTATCTGATCCCTCCTCTGTCCATGTTTGCTCTGCACCAAAACTTGTATTGTTTGAGTGGATTTTGAGCTTGAATATTATACATTATCTTTCTAAAGTAGAATATTGATGTTTATTTTTCTATATTCCATGCATAAACCTTACCTCTACAAGCTTTGTTCTCCACGTCAAAATATTCATTATAGCAACAATGGACACCATCCGGTCTAAAATGTAAATTCAAATAAGTTGACACGAAAATATAAGAGTATCAAGGATCATAAAAGAACATATTCTATCAATGAAAACCATTTTAAGAAATTTTATCTGTCGAGTAATTATTCTATTTTAGAAATACATTTTTCCAAAAATCTCATGATTGAGCTGCGTTTTAATAATTCAAACTACTTTATTTGTGAAATAAGATTTGACTTGAAGATATATAAACAAAAATATGATCCTTTACCTTCGACATCCACTGCTAAAGGCTTGTATATTAGTGAAAAGGGTTAAAGGCACAAAAAAGAGCAAGTGGATCAGCATCATTTTAATTTTAACAAAGAAAACGTATTTAGTCGAAAGTCAGACATAATACACATAGTAGTATTAAATTATTACAGGGAAATATCCTTTTGAATTCTCACAAATCAATACATCTAAATTAACCACCACTTTAGTTTCATAGCTATGGACAGAGCAGGTTCAGAGAGCCTGGCTAATTTGTAAAAAAAAAAAAACATAATGAAGGCATTATAAAAATAAAACAAGGACATTGACAAGGATTTCTTTTCCTGATAAAGAAAAACCAATTCTTAAAATGGCACAAGGGATAATAAAATGACACAAGTAATGTTTTCATAGACAGTTGTTGTAAATGACCAATACCAATGTCAAGGCCGGGTAGATACATTCATACTTTAATTCACTGTTTCAAAAGTTACATACAAAAGGGAAAAGGCAGTCGTACATACTGACACTTTTCTCCCAGTGAAATACAAAAATTAAAGCTGAAATAAGAACCTATATCAAAGTGATATGAGGTATTTTTATATACCTGCAAAAGTAATGTTAAGTAAAATTTATCAGATTTATGGAGATTATACAGTTTCATTAAGCACAGTTTTTGTTGAGTGAAAACGCTTAAAGATTTGCCAAGGCCAGGGCGACCAAAGACTTTTTCTGATGGAAACGTAGCTGTAATTACAAAAATTGTAGCGAATGGGAGATTTACTTAAAAAATATATCGCCCGTATACATTGTTGGGACCTCATCATCAAAAGAAAAAAAAATTTATCAAGCACCCACACCTTGCTGCGCAATCTGTATAAGGGAATACTGCATCACTTGACATCAGAACAAACATCACAACACGCGTTTGAAATTTGACTGAAAACTTTCAAAATGTATTTTAAAAACTTTGAAAGGAGAAAGTTAGCGTGACTTGCTAAACGGCAATGAATCTTTTTTAACCGCATAGAAAAATTATAATATCGAATGGTATCCTGTCATTGCTGAAAAATGTCGGAAAACATTATTTATGTTTATTTTTAATTCTAGTGGGACCAGATCTGCAAATAATTACTCCGCAAGATCAAGGTATCTAGGGACAAATTGAAAAAAAATAATGTACTAAAAAATTAAAGTATCTGAAAATACCATATTCAGATTTCACTTCAATCTAATTGAAATTAGATTTTCCGTTTCTGCTACCGCTTCTTACAATTATTTAATCATATCAATCGTCTTGAGAAGATTTTGTCTCTATTATTTATTCTTGTAAACTTTTATTCTTGTATAATCCTTAGTGTAGTGCTTGAACCAACCCTTATGCAATGATATGATATGCATTTATGTGTAATGAAGGTTTTAAAACAAGTGAACATAAAGAACAGGGATCAGTCTAATTTTTATAACAATTCAAACAAGCCCCTTGAAGTCCTATAGGATGGATCAGGTGCTAAGGAGGAGTAAGCATCCCCTGTCGACCGGTTACGAGCGCCTCGGACACTATCAGGTAGATAGGGACATTCGTTTGTCACTTTCAATATTAAAAACAACAAATATTGCTATGAAAATAGGTATCCACTTTACGTCTCATTAAAAGTTTTATTTGCTAATAAGATGATTATAACGACCACAGAATTTGCTAAATCATGACTTTAAACAAGGTTGTTTAGATCCCAGTAAAATCAACTTGTGTGTGTATAACTTGTTTTGGTTAGAAAGGTTTCAGTACTTACGAGGGCTGTTCATTAAATAATGTCCTGAACTATATAACATACATTACAGATATCATTTGACATTAAACTTGACTTTCTCTCATTATTGAATTTTTCATGAATTTATAACAGTTTATGTGACCACTTTTCTTCACATAGTTTCGTCGTGAGAAGCTGGGAAACAAGGGCTTTTCGAGACACTGCATTATAAATGGATGGTAAAAAATCAGTAAACTAGAGTGAAAATAAAAGCTTCATTATAGCTGTCGTAAAACTTGTTAAAAATCCCAAAGAAATATTCACTGAAATACATGACATTTACAGCAACCAATGCATGTTTTATAGGCAAAAGAGCAAGTAAATTTCAATGATCAAAAATTATATAATGGCCATCAAAAATGGGTACCCTCCTTGCCAACAAAAATTATATCAACTTATGTACTGGTTGCCAAATTTCAACAAATAATATTTGATGATGTATGATTGACTTTAAGACATATAGCAAATTTGATAGACATCATATCGGGAGCAGTTTACACTGTTTTTAAGAAACGTTTGACGGCAAAAAAGCTTGGTACTCAAAGGTCACCCTATATTTTGAAAAATGAGTGAAAACGACAGCGTATACAAAATTCTTAACAATTATTTTAAAATATCAGTAATTTCAGTTATCCACGTTTGTTTTATTTTTAAATAGATATTGGAACGTGAATCGTTTGATTAAAACCCTCAAAACAAAATTTACCATAAAATATACTTGATAAAAACAGCGAATGTCGGACAAGAGCACAGAAAATCAAAAGCATAGAGACAGATTTATATGTAAACAATCTTTTCTTAAAAATTAGTGGTATTGTTGTTCAAATTCGTATTCGGAGAGACCGTTTTATTTCTGGAGGAGTCTAGAAAGCAATTTTTTTGCAAAGAAATCAAAAGGTTTATTAGAGGAAGGACTCAGAATCAGGAATCAACTACATTGAATTTCTCCAAGACAGCGTCCAAACCCGCATGCCCTGAAGAGTAAAGGGGTTTTCGGGATAAACAGAAAGTTAATGTTTTTTCACATGAACAATATTCGCCAAATTTTTTACCTTTTAACTTGTTTCTATTTTCAAACTTGAAAAAAACACCTTTCAGAGGGAAGAAACAATTCCGGGAAATCATTGGATCTGCCATTTTCCAGTATACTAAGGGCCATACCGAAAATGAGTTCTAACAACAATCAGAAATTGGATAAAAAATGTTACGGACATGTATTTTACTAAAAAGAGATTAATTAGTAAAATCATGAAGACCAAAACATTGAAAAGCGTCTTTTGCTTCTTTCTGAGCATCGAGGACATTATTTATTGAACAGCCCTTGTAATGCGTGCTTTTTTTATCATATCTACTTTTTTTCAATCTTTGTCAATAATGTCAAAAATCAAACTTCAGCCATTGCAATAACTGTAAATGAGGTGAAGAGGATACTTGGAATTTCGGAGTCAAACCAACAAACAAACAACTTCATCCACAATAAACCATGTACTAGTAACTGTAAGGGTTATATACTGCAACTCAAAGGACGACCCACCTACTCTGTAACTTACTATAATTTCATTGCCTATGTATCAATATTTTGTATATAAGTTTATGTAGTCATTCTTGACATGTACTTAGTGTGATGGGGTGCTAATAATGAAATGTTATTTTCTTAACATCATTTTTCCAATGAATGGCAATCATGCCTTAACCTGTATAGTATGAAAATCTCTAGATTTTTTGACTACTCCTCAAATATTGGAATTTTTCTCATGGGTAATAATGTGAAGTAAAAATTATTAGCTATAAATATCCATAATAATTGGAAGTTTCCCTGTCGTTGCATATTATATTTGTTTGAAGGGAAGTTTGTTCCAGGAAATTTTCATTCCCTGAGTCATTTACTATAATTTTCCTGTACCTATACACAATTTGCCAAATAATAAAATAGATGTTAGAAAGCTTTAATATGTTATTGTGAAGTGTTTCACTTCAATTTATGCATTCAGTTGTGATAAAATTAAGCAATATGATTTATAACGTTCAAAACATTGAAAGTACGTGATCGTGTACTAACAAATATGCTATTAATAGGAATAAATATGGGATACGGTACACATTAGTATTCAGATTTGTTCAGTGTAAGAGAAAGACACGCAACTTTTTTTAATTTGAAACTAAAAAGAACCACATACATTTGTAAACAGTGCATACAAACAGAGATCAGATTTTGGAACCGGGTCCGGGCCATAAAAACTCAAAAAAGAATTCACCCTTGAGCTCAGTGTCATTGAAACATATGGAATTAACGAACAGTTGTCAAGGTCCATAAAACAGTACAAAATAGGAGCAGAGCAAAAACGGACCTCCAAAACATCAGAGGTGGGATGATCAGGTGCCATGGAGGAGTGAGCATCCCCTGACGACCGGTTATACCAGCCGTGTGCTCCTTGTGGTAATTTTAATAGATATTAACTGAAAAAATAGTAGTTACACGAGAATGAGATCAAAAGTGAGCTCCTCTAAGTATTATGATCGTGGAAATTATGTGTTATGATGTAGAAGAAAGCATCCTCTGTTCATCGTTCACATCAACTGCTAAATACTATAGTAACTGAAACAAGTAAATGGAATATCTTGTATTCACTTTAGCTTAGACACAAAGGCTTTACAATCAGTATCAATGAAATCAGTCTAAAAACAACCTACTAATAAGATATATTTGCAAGGAAAGTCTTTAAAACGACTATAGAATATTTCAAATACCGATTTTAAAGGAGACAACGTTAATCGACTATGTTAAAATGATGTTCTTTGTCAACATCAATACGTAAATGATTCGATTTTCTAGATCTAGTTTTCTTTATTTAAATTTTATTCGTATTTTAACATCTGTTTGACGCCATTTGTTTTCATATATATTTAAATTACAATTCATTTATAGTTCTTACATTTTAGTCTCGTTGGCTTTATTTTTGTATCGTTGAAAAGTCTTATAAATCCAGTAAAAAATGCGGGACGTGGGCAGGGCAAAACCACGGACCACTGGAAAAAAAAAAGGTTGGGTGAGTTGTCTTGAGGACGTACATATCCCGTGTACAACCGCTCTGTCGCATCCTCTCATGATAAAACGCCGTTTGTTGATACAAATGTCATTAAGCGTTGCAAATGAAACGCAGAATGCCATAAATTATTACATTGATAGCTTACATTCTCAACCACTAATGCTAAATCGCCGCTTAATGACAGAATTATATCATAAAGCGTCACAAATGCAGAGCAATACTGACGCTTAATGAAACAAGCAAATATCAACATATTCGACGACTAATGATTCGCACTAGTGTATCATTAACCATTGCAATTGCAACCTTTTTAATAAAATAACATTTAAAAATGGCTAACAATATCTAAGAGATACACACATCCACCTTTCCTGAACAAAGAGTTATCATTTGCCAAAACATTTAAATATGCTCGTGTGCTATACAAATGGTAATTATCTGAGTTTTACTATGTTTTCTAGCTAGCCAATGAAAATTCTTTAAGCTCCGGATGTTTAAAAGACAGACAGTCAGATAGCTTTGGAAAAAGGATACAGACAAACAGATGAATAAAAAGATATCCAAATCTTTTTAAAAGAACCCATTTTTTTGAAAATATAGAAAGAAGCATTCCTTTTAATTTGAGACAGCAATTTGAATAGTCAACTTAAAAAAAATGTATGATATATTTTAATATTTTTTTATCGAAAGGTTGTATTTTAGAATTGATCCAGCTTTAAACATGCTACTGTTAACGTGTCAGATATACATATCTAGAAATAAATTTTAAATTTCTCTATTGTATTTTGAATCTGCTCCATTTATTAAATTTCAAAATGAGAACCATAAATATTGACAACATAACATAAAAATAAAATCTAATACATTGAATACATTGAGTAACATTATTGTTTTAAAAACAAATTTCTTTTATGCTTTATTCGTGATCAGTGTTACTTAAATACATTACTGGTGCAAGATTGTTTTCGTATCATTTTTGAATATATTTCAAAATATAAATATATGAATATGAGTTTTTCATTTTATTAAATCTCATAAAGCCTCACCTGGGCCGATGATTATGTTTCAATTGTTTTTTCCTTTTAAGGAATAAGAATAATACATGTGCCATATTTCTGGTCGGATACAGAATTTTGGACTAAATTGTAACCCCCATAGACGATTTATACTCTAGTACAAACGGTACTTATAGGAATAATACTTGTGACTGATTCTCAACATATATTTGCAAAGAATAGTGTTTTAGCCCCAAAAAACAATTGTTAATAAATTGTCAAACCTCGGTGGTTTATTTTGGAATTTGTTGAACTTGTTGTTGAACCACTTATGACGTCATTATAAAGCACGTTAATCATTTATAATTTAACAATAAAAGTGTGGTCATGTGGGAAATCTGTTAACATGTTAACATAAATATTTTTTTTTCTTTTGGGTACTCCGATCCTGACTGAGAATCAGGCATTAATTAATTGACAGTGCTCACAAAAATATCTCTGAATTCTTCACGTAACGTGTTTCTACCCACGATAATTCTTCAAACTTCATCCTCAAAGTTAATCATATTATATAAAGAAAATTAATAAATCTCAAAAAGATTTTCAGGAAATGCAAATAAAAACAACTCATATGCATTTTCCAATTCAAATTTAATCAACAAACACATTTTAGAAATAAGGTATCCAGGCTTCTGAAGAAATTGCACCATTTTTAAGCGGTTAGCTTCGCTAGCCGCTATATGGCATGTGTCGGCAACCGGAAACCTCCATAAGGCGCTACCTATCGGCATCGCTTTATCGCTCGTAACCTTATCCTTCTGCAACCAAAACCGGAAACTTCCACAAGGACCTACCTATAAATGTTTTTTACAACGGTAACTTCAGCAAATGATTTCTATCCATTCGGCGTATGTACGCCCCCTAAAGTCAATAAAACATAATTGACAATATGCTGTGAAGTCTGAAAAGCCAGGTTGTTATATCACTTCGTACTAACGAAGTATTATGCTGTGTATGAAGAGTGGCTATATATAACGATTATATCGAATTCTTATTAGTATATTTACCAAAGCATTGACAATACTTACAACACTTACTTTTAAGAATATAATTTGGTCCTAATTACATGTGTATCGCGCGATCGCGATTTAATGGCAACTGTTAGTTTATTTTTGAAAGTTTATTATACAGCAGGTTGGAGGTTATTACAGACTGCAAAAACATCAGCAAATCTCTCGATCGAGTTTGATTTTCCTTGCCAAAGTATTTAGAAACACCATTTATTAAGTTAATTCCTGAGAGAAAGCGCTTTTATAAAAACACCGAACGCATCTGTAAGTTTTACACTTTTTGTAACGTTTTATGGAAACAATAGGGTTACCTCCACTAGAAACGTTTGTTTTTCTTCTCATTTTCTTCTCTGTTTAATAAACAGATTATAAAAGCTCTGCTCCCACACAATAAAATCTACTCCGTCTTTGATAATTTATAACAATCGATCATAAGGGATTACTTACTATTAGTTTTGTAAAAAATAATGGAGCACTTAAAGTAGTTAAATCAATTTTGAAAAAAAATGGAGAAATATAAATTAATTTTAATCAGCATTGTGATCCTCCTCTAAAAATCAAACCGATATTATTTTCACAGAAGAATGAGGTATGAAAAATTTTGGCAATTAGAAAAAATTTAAAATATATACTTAATGCTTATTTATAAGTTTTGAAAATTTAATCAATTCCTAGGGAACGTATTATTAGCTGTGAAAATACTTTTAAAATTTGAATTTGTCCAATTTGTCGATTATTGTTTTAAACGTTTGAGAAGAATAAAAAAAATATTGAGAAAAATATTGCATGAAGTTTTATGATAAAAACACCTTATATGTCCTTAAAATATTGTGCCTTATTTTGTGCAAGACTTTTTCAAATGATTCTCATATACCATTTTTACTTTATCTCCGAACATTTACTTGTTTGAAAAGTCAATAAAATATATTTCATAAAGCTTGATAATCTTGTATACTCGCCAGTCTTCCCGTAGAAGTAGTAGTTTACAATATTACTAAAGGAAGTATTCAGTATCTGTATCAAAATACAGAATGTTTAATGATCGATTTTAGAAGAAAAGCTGATCTCCTGAAAGCTCAAAGAGGTGGGATCCGTTGCCGAGAAAAAGTACTAGTAAGTTCCCTCGTTGACAGGTTAATTATATTCTATATGAGCCTACACAACTAAATCTCTCTGATATCAATTTTTAAAAAGTCTCTGGAATGTCAGCCATCCTTTTTTCTCTGACTAGCCAGGTGTAGATCTAAACTACTCCAAATCCATTAATCTAAAGAATTTAACTTGTCATTTTTTTGTCATTAGTAGGCTTTACAATTACCTAATTTCAGATTCAATAGAGAATAAAAGACAATGAAATTTTCAACATCAACATAATTTTTTTTATCCAGAGAACAATTGGATGCCATCAAGAGAGAATTTTTAAAAATGCAATTGTCTTTCAAACTGTAGAAATTTTTTTAAATTTTGAAACATGCATTTAACTTATTAAAATTTATTTAAATGTTCCAAATCCGCTACCGCTTCTGAAACATCTAACATGAAAATCGGGGTCACATCAGAAAACCTTTCAATTTTATGATTAATTTTATGCATTTGAAATTAAATATTGGCCATTTTTGGAGTTCGATAAACAGTTCTCAAATTAATTCCACGGCTACATATCATCATTATTGATACTGTCTTTCGTTGAATTAAAGTAATTTTGGCATAAATTTCATGAATTTCTGCAGTCTGGCATCTAAACGTGATTTTATAACAAAATAAGAGCACAAACTATGAAATACCCCACATTTTCATACATAACACAACTTTTGCAATGCATATCTTTTTATTACAAAACTCCTCGGGTGTTTTGGTTGGGTGGTGAAAACAAGAAACCCATCTTAACTATTAGCCAGGATTTCGGAGGAACCATTTTCTTTGCCTAATCGAAGATTCACTCTTACATGACCCCAAATAGGATGAATTGAATTGAATTGAATTGAACATATTTTATTGACAAAGTCAAAAGGATCAGACACAAGTTCAGAAACTTAGATAGTCCTCTCCTGATATAACATTTTGTGAAATTGCCAAAGTAAAACAAACATATATACATATGGTCTACTATATACAATGTATACAATGTAGCAAATAGAAAGGAATAAATTCTTTAAATATACAAATATAATTTGAGATGGTGAGGAAAAAAAATAAAAAAGTAAACTTATTTTGAAAAACGACCACATTCATTTAAGAAAGTTTGAATAGTCTTGAAAAGTTCAGCATTTTGTTCAAAAGTTAGAGAATCATCGCCCCATAGCATTAAATGTACATCTATAATATGTAAATAATTTAATGACAATAGCTTATTCATTAAGGAATTTCTTGCTTTTACATAATATTTACAAACAAAAAACAGATGATATGTATCTTCTAGTAGTCCACAAGAACAATTAGGACTGGTTATTAGGTTACAGCGATATAAATCAGACTTTAAAATACAATTGTGTCTTAATCTTGTATGAATTATGTTCAAAAACCTTTTTCCATAAGAAAAATATTTCTGAGGTTTTACATTACTGTTTTGCAGATAGTTTTTGAAAATTTTAATAGAAGTTGCCTCCCTTGTTTTTAGACTAAGAGAATTCCACTTTCTAACAGTATCGGGAATAAATGATTTATTGTTGATTTATTGTATAGGATGTTGTTAGATGTTTGAGAAGCAGTAGCGGATTCGGAACATCTTATTTTAATTAGATTGCATCCATCTGTGACATCACTTTGGAATGTTATTGGTTTTACTATTGAGTAAAATATTACAAAAACAGAATGTCTGTGTTTTTCTTCTCTGATGACATTGGACAAAGATATGCATGTTTAAATATCGTCATTTTTTGCACTTTTTCGGTACATATTAGATGAAAGCATGCTAACCGCTTTTCAGTACTTTCAGTACTTTGATTATACATATAATAAGGTACTTGATTTCTTTTATATACTTCGATCATTTACAATGCAAAGTGTACAAAGATTTTCTGATTAATGCAAAACACCATTAATCACTTTTAATTTCATATCATTTTATATGTTTCATTTCTATAGATCATTTCATATCGATATGCAATTTTAGCATTCTTTTATAGGGTAAAAATTTTGACTTTTTATAAGTCCTTTTTGAGAACATTTGTACTTGTAGATAATGTCTTCAACTTATTGTCTTATAGATAATACATTAAAGGTCATTAGCAAGAAGAAAGAAAAGGTGTAAGGGTCGTCAATTTTATTCCTTCCTTTGAAAATGATTTTCTCGATATCGGCATAAACGTTCCTTCCATAGACAATGATGGCACTGCCCAATTACCAGTAGTGGATACGCTCAAGGCAATACCGAAGCTGCAAGACAAAGAAAAACAAATAAAAGCTCTCAAAAATAACCGAATCAGGAAATATGTTAGACATTTTAATTTTTCCCATATAAAATGAGCACCCTGTTCTTGCCTATGTCAACTCTTTCAAAATTCAACATAAATTATACAATATTTTTCTTGATCTTTACACAAAATCTTCACATTATTAATTCTTAACTTGTTCAATCTCATCCTTCTTTATTTTCACAAAGTTAATTCTCAGTACATCACAGTTTTCTTTGAAGACTAACGAATGCGTTGCACATGACCAATTTTCTTATTTTTAAGTGAAACTCAAAATAACACTTATTTTACTTCGTGCTATTCAAGTCAAGTTGTCCAAATTTGGTACTTTTTAGATAAGACGTAAAGAGGTCATTCAGAAAAGGAATGGAAGGTGTAATGGCGCCTCTTTCTTCGCTTTTGCTATTGTTTTCTTTGACGGCGATTGTTGCCACGAGAGAAGTTACTACCACAGACGGTGATCGAATTTCCCACTTGGAAGATGTGATAAAGACATTGATTGAGATGCAAGAGAAGGAAAGACAGGTAAATGCTCTTCAGAATAACAGGATCAGGAACCTCGAGGAAACTATGGCGAGATACGAGGAAGAGAATACGAAGTTAAAGACTGAAAATGAGGACCTGAAAATTAAACTCAATAAGATGGAAATATCATTTGGGGAGATGGACGCCCGAGTGAAGAGATTACAATGGAAAAACCTCAGTTTGATTAAGACCGTTAAATCTAACGCTAAAATAATGAATAATATTCAGTTTAGAATCTTGCATTGTAGCAAAGAAAGACTTGAAAGTTCTATGCAGCCTGAAAAGTCGATATCGGTGGAAAATGAAGAATCAGAAGAATCGTTCATTTCCACCGAGTCTAAAGGGGAATCAGAATCATTGGCGCCATCTCGCAAACGGCTCTTGACAGGTAAACATTTTAAATTTGCGAAAAAAATTCCGATGGTCTTCGCTAATCCCGGATGGTTTGACACGCCAAAGTCCGATATGGTTCAGAAAAAAATTTATGACGTCATAGTACTACTGCACCAAACCTCAATGCTGAGACAGGCCAAAGTCTTAAATGAGAATAAATGAATATCATTTTGCAAAAACTAACTCAAATCTCTCAGATTGGTGCGAAACTAACCCTAATCGTTCGAAAAGTGTTAATAACAATAACCTAGATATCTCTGGTGGATGCAAAACTAACCCTTATCACTCGACTAGTGTGCGAGGACTAACCCCAAGGACTAAACCTAATCATTCGAGTGGTATGCTAGAACTTATCTTAATATTTCTGAAAGGTGCAATCAATAAGCAAAATCAATAAAATTGATATATAGATCGAATTCAGAAATGATGGCCTTTGAATGCAGGACAACAGCATCAGTGATTGACGTCGAATTATTGTGACGTCATAAACCTTAATTATTTCTCCGCACCATCGGACTTTGGTGTGACAGACCATCACACTTTTAGAGCAGAGTGTCGCATAGGTAACGAACCATCATACTTTTGAGTGACTATCGGACTTTGGTATCCATACTGATACCAAGCCTTCTGGGTTTGGCGAGACCATCGGAAATTGGCGTCACCATGAGATTTTGGACTCTTACATACATATTTTTATAGTTTTTAAAAATAGTTTGCAATATCTGCATGTACATTACAATATTTTAATATATTTATGTAATTCATAGAGTGTTTTTAAGATTAGAACAATACTTTTATATTAGTTCGAGCTTTTAATACTGTTAATTTAAATATTCAAAACATCATCAACCCGAGAAATTAAATAAAGAGCAGAGTAGATACGAAATATCATTTGAAAGAAACATAAATGAAATCAAATTAATGTATGAAATATTATCAATAGGCAAAAACATGTTATCAAATGTATTTTCATGGCGTATACAAACATGTAATTCCATGTATCACTGACTCTTCGATGGTAGAGAATGGATATCATAAATAATTTTAAAATGCCCTTCGTAATCACTCAAAAATGATAACGTCACTGTATTTTTGTAGGTATACCTACAACTCAACTTAATGGCGTTGCCTTTTCTGTCTACTTGAAAACGCATGAAACGCCTTTAGCAGTGCATCAAACAATCCTGTTTGAAGGCATTTTGAGCAATATTGGAAATCATTACAATCCACACACAGGGGCCTTTACAGCACCCGTACATGGAGTCTACGTCTTTACGTGGAACCTATATTGTCGTGTAGATGAAGGGCGCATTTTCTCCGAAATTGCAGTTAATTCCAATGCAATAGCTAGCATGTTTACTTCCAGTCAAGGTGCTACGGGTATCCGTACAACCACCGGAATCGTCGTGGCTGAAGTAAATAAGGGGGATATAGTATTGGTTCGGACACATCCCAGTAACAGTCATTACGGAAGTCTTTATAGTGATCCAGCTTGGAGATCGACATTTAGTGGATGGTTATTATTTTGAAATAAAACAACTATTCTACTGTGGAAAATAAATATAAATAAAAGATAGATAAACGTTCGATAATAGTTGTTTTATATGTTGACACAACTTGTTTTAGGATTATTACTATTTTAAAACATAAATATTCTGAGAAATAAAATATTTGTGGAGAATTAAATGGCATCACATTCTTTGAATTTAGATCCTCATTTAGAATTAATTGTACATTAAAACTCTACATTCTTAACCTAATTCCATAGACTAGCTGTACATTTCTTATTTCTCATCGACCTTGAACGAATTCCATAAGGGTCATTATCACCTTATTGTGTGCATGAATTTGATAAGGTGTAAAGTGTCAAGATAATGAAGTGTGATCGATCTAAAACGACAGAGTTTTCTAATTTTCATCGAATTTAAAAAATTCAAAATGTCATGGATATTTTTTTAATTGTCTGTAATGCAATTAAGGTCATTTAAAAATCATATATAAGTTTTTGAGTGTCTTCATTTGGGAAAAATTGACACAAAATTTTCCGATTTTGTTATATTTGTCGTTGTCTTGCATCCCCAGTGCTAATTGTTTTAAGTATATCCTCTTTTTAGCGATGCTATCGTTTATTCTCCATTGTAGTTTCACATTGTGACGTCACAAACAAGAAACAAGACTTTATTTAGCATTTGCTATTTATAAAACTTGTGTATGACTGTGTGTACCAATTATTTTATTTCTAATCTGAATTGTGGTTTTGCAGATACAGTGTATAGAGATAGTTCGCAAACATTTTGATCACCAATCGTATAATTCGTGCGTCTCTGTATTGTTTCCTACAAAGGCAAAAGGTGTTTTACAGAGTTTTCGATCGTGTGTTCAATAATTTTGCTGATTATCAACTGACAAATTTAAATCATTTTGGACGAATAAAATTAGCATATTAATTCAGTATTTGTTAAATGAATGGTTCGTAAATACAGTGAACAAGAGTTCCCAATAACACTATGAGTGGTCGATTATTTATTTTTTTTTTATGTAAATAGCGTTAAGATTTATAAAACCTTTTTATTGGTAATTCTTAAAATAAATCCTCGGAAAATAAAAGTTAAATGCAAAAGAAAAGGATTTTGATGCATACTCAGGAATATACTTGCATACGAAAGTTAGTATATAGATCTACATGATGATTAATATGTAACTGTAGGTCCCCGATATAGTTATACTTACAAATACGATTAGTTTTTCATTGTATCCGTTATTTTATAGCATCGAATAAGAGTTGGAATTTTCTACAGCACTATAAACTAACGAAATGTACACATCTCAGTACGACATCAAAACCTTACCATTCAACCAAGCGAGAAACTAAAAAATTCTTCCGATTTTATTGACAGATCAATCACCAGCACAAAAAATTAAAATAAAGATTATTACTGGCTCAAAATTTTCACAGACATTGTAAATTATTACCCCCAAACACCTTTGAAAAAAGCAATCAGAATACTCTCTTGCCAATATAATTATTTGATAATTCGAACCTTAAAAAGTTTGTCAAGCTACGAACGTTCGTAAGCGGTAGCGTTTCAAAACAGCTGATTTTAATCAGATTGATGTCAATTTGCTCGCTTTTGTGTTATCATATGTAAGTCTACCACATTTACGATATATCAGTGATGCATAAAAACTTAAGAAAAAATAGGAGGAATAATTAAACAGGGCAGTATTACTTTTATTGACCTGCATGTGTGCTTATTTTGAAAAGTAATAATACATCTTGATTAAAGGTCGCATGTGTCATGCCCCCCCTTTCAAATTAAATATCACTTCAAAGAGTATTTTACTTAGCTTGAAATGCATAACTTGGCATCAAAATACATGCTAACGTTCTTTAAAAAAAATATTTATTTATTAAATATTGATTTTATCACACAATACAGATTGAATGAGTTGCCGTGCATTACAAATCATGACTACAGTTACAAATTTTAGGCATAAAAATCGATCTGGAGATGTTTTCTGTTAAAAAAATAAATGGGTATTTATTAAATAATTGAATATTAAAGATCAATGAATATGAACATAGGCCCGTAGCAAAAAAGAAAAAAAAAAGAAATTATCAAAACTTACGATGTAAATTTTATAAAAAGTATATAAATAAATAAATAATATTTTTTATAGTCGGGAGGAAAAGAATTTTAAATGGTTGTAATTTGCTGTAAATATTGTGCTACTAAACAACACAAAAATAATTTTATGATTTTATTTTTTTTTCTGATGAAAAGCTTTGAAGTTTTATATATATTTCCTTATGAAATTATTTTTAAACGTTTGAACACATAATTCTCCATAAATTGATCATTTAATTTTTTTATACATATCATTCGGGCATATTGCAAAAAAAATATTTGTTAATAATAAATAAAATAATTCATTAAAAAAATCAAATAAACCCTCTTTGAAATAAAAAAAATCGATTTCACACCTCTGCAGCCTCCCCGAGAGCGAGAACAATAGGGACAGTAATTATCAGTAAATGTCAGCACTTGTCTAAGTTTTTCAGCAGGGACAGTAAACGGGTCAGTAATTGTCTAAGTTTATCAGCATCGACTAAGTTTATCAGCACCGGCAGTAAAAAGGTCAGTAATTGTCTAAGTTTATCAGTAAGGACAGCGCATTGTCAGTAATTTTCTAAGTTTGTCAGTAAAAAATGGGAATGTCAGTACATTTTGGACTTAGTAGTGTATATCCTCGGTCCATTGTTCCGGTAAGATGAAGAGTATTTATGTTGTGTGTTTGCAACTGTTTTATTCCTGCACAAAAATACAAATGAAATTGAAATAATTTTCATTTTCAATAGTACAATTAACACATATGATAATTGGTCCAGCAAATATGTTACTTTTCCAACGTTTATTTAAAAATCAGTTACGATAAACATTACCTAACAAATGCAATAAGTAAAGATCATAAAGATAAATACAGATCTCACAAGTCCTATTAACAATATTTGGACACATCTGATGTGGAATAAAGTTTCTGGGATGAGTTTATAAATTTGGTCTACCTTTGGCATAAACATATTTTTGAGTAATTTAAAACATACCAATAGGAAATTCCGTTCGTCTGGTACGTTTCATTGTGTAATACCTAGAAAACGATAGAACTTTTTCAATAATACTTTAGAATCATTTTCCTAAAAGAATTTTTATCAATTCACGCTAACAAAAATGTTTTTACCCTTGTAAATATAAAATATAAATAGTTTATATAAAAAGCATGATAAGCTATTAAAACAAATTATATGTTTGCTTTTTTAAGGAATACATGATCTGAAAAAGAACTCTTTTGTCGCATAATTTCTTTCTACAACAAAACAAAAGAGATAAAAACAACTATCTGAACATACATCAGGAGATAAATTAGAATGACGACACAGCCAACTATCATAAATAAGGAGACGGTTATCAACCGGAGATGCCTTGATATCTGCTGTAACTCCTCTCCATTATTTTCACTATTCACAGTATAACCTAAATACATATTAATGAGTTAACATTTACAACGTTTTATTCTTTTTATGTCTGCGAATTAAATATGTTGTCGTTATGTAAACGGATGAAAACATTATCAGCAATTAAAATATAGAGTTTAATTGAAAAACGAATTTATGCTTAATATTGTTATAATAATGAAATTTCAACAAAAATTATGGTTTCATATGCAGATTTTTGCCAGTGAAATTGTTATAATAATAAAACAAAAATTGGCCAAGGTTACTATAAGATTAGAACTTTTGAAAGAGGAATAATAAAATTAAATGATTTCACGTATAGGAAGGATTTTTGTCAGTTAAATTTGTTAAAACAATATGAAATGGATTTTCAGGTGCCATGTAAACATGTGGCGATCACACCCGCCGTGTGCTCCTTATCGTAGTAGCCCCCCCCCCCCCCACTTTTTTCCCCAACCTTACTTATACTATAGGAAATGTTAATTGAAAGCCTGGTTGTTCCCCCCACTTTTAGAATTGTTGATGTGAAAATGTATATTGGAATTGTTAGTGAAAATACGACATAAAAGTACCCCCCCCCCCCCCCACGAAATAGAATTTTCGACTTTGTGCAAATTTTGCCTTTTTTTTTGTCTTTTTCAGGTATGTAAAAAAAAATTTCTCTGGCTGCCCCCCCCCCACTTTCAAAAACGATGCTACGCCACTGTCAGGAAATAACGGAATAAATCCGTCGTCAATTCAGTGTATAAATAATGGACTAACAATTGGTATGAAAAACCAACTGAAAGGAGTGACAATTATACGAAAGAGACAAAGACAGACAGACCTGTGCTTGTGTTTGCTCTAAGTTTGCTTCTTTCCGTGATTGTTTTATTCTTCTCTGTTAATGATGACATATTGGAATTTTCTAGTGTTATTCAAAGAAAACATGTTTTCATATAATTTTGTGGAGACAAATCTCACGTATTGAAGATATATACTGAACAATTGTGTGTTAAAGTATATTAAATTTTTGGGTTATATTTACCATGTTTATGATCTTTTGTCCTTTTCTCCAAAGACCTGTGAATCCAAAATATGTTTGTTATGTTCTAATATGGCAATGAATTTAAAACTTTGTACTGTTAATGTTATGGTTTTTCAACGACGCAGTAACTTTAAAATATTTAAAATAATTTAAACAATAATAAATTATACATCTCCGTAGTCGAAGATCCTAGGGTTGACTTGTCTATTGTAGACAAACGCATTCCACGCTTTGTTGTTGAATGGGGTGCATTAGAGTGTTTCATTCTCTCCAAATTGTACTCATTGGGGGCTAAAAGTAAGAGGTGCATACTTATTTTAAGTAATTGGTGATTTTAAAAGAATATCGACAATAGCTTAGTCACGATATCATAGATTACACTTGGGGATGTATCTTCATATTTTTTATGTGGGTACACAAAATAATGAATTTCTCTCGAAAAAAAACCCATGATAAGAACATGCAGAATACCTAAGAGTGTTATGCCTCCATTAGAGGTTGTTGCCAAGCAGCCAAACACTGGGTCACAATAAAGAGATCTACACGTGCAGGCCAATCTACACAAATGTCCATAATATCCCTCTTTACAAGGTTCTTTACATCCCCAGCCTATTCTCCCGGGAATGCATTCTAAAAACAATTAAAATGCCTCGTAGAAAACAAATGACACGGACGATATAATCATAGAATTCAATGAGAATCTTTTTTCTGCAGATTTAAGTTGAAATTTTATTTTCAATATGTCTTCAGCTAAAACAAATTAGCACTAAGTCAAATACTGACTATGGATTTCATACTAATTGTTAGGCCATTATTTATACACAGAACTGTCGATGTATTTTTAGTTATTTCCCGATCACGAGAAGAAGCACACGGCGTATATTTGACCGCCCGGCTAGATTTGCTCACTTTTCCATGGCATCTGAGCCCTCCTCTGTCCGTGTTTGCCCTGCCCCAAAACTTGTATTGTTTGAGTGGATTTTGAGCTAGAATATTGTACATTATCTTTCTATATTAGAATAATGTTCTTTATTTTTCTATATTTTATGAATAACCCTTACCTCTACAAGTTTTATTCTCAACGTCAAGATATTCATTATAGCAACAAGGGATACCATCCGGTCTAAAATATAAATTCGAATAAATTGACACGAAAATATAAGAGTATCAAGGAACATTCAAGAACATATTCTATCAATGTTAACCACTTTAAGAAATTTTATCTGTCGAGTAATAATTCGATTTTAGAAATACATTTTTCCACACATCTCATGGTTGAGCTGCGTTTTAATAATTCAAACTACTTTATTTTTGTATAATAAGATTTGACATGAAGATATATAAAAAAATATATGATCCTTTACCTTCGACAACCACTGCTAAAGGCGAGTATATAAGTAAAAAGGTTCAAAGGCACAAAAAGGTGCACATGGATCAGCATCATTTTAACTTTAACAAAGCAAATATATTCAGTTGAAAGTCAAACATAATACACATAACTGTATTAAATTATTACAGGGAAATATCCTTTTGAATTTTCACAAATCAATACATCTAAATTAACCACCACTTTAGATTCATAGTTATGGACAGAGCAGGTTCAGAAAGCCTGGCTAATTTAAAAAAAAGATAATGAAGGCATTATAAAAATAAAACAAGGACATTAAAAAGGATTTCTTTTCCTAATAAGGAAAAAACCAAATCTTTATATGGCACAATGGATCATAAAATGATACAAGTAATGTATTCCGCAGACAGTTTTTGTAAATGACCAATACCAGTGTCAAGACAGGGTAGATACATTCATGACATCTTTAGTATACTTTCATTTACTGTTTCAAAAGTTACATACAAAAGGAAAAAAGGCAGTCGTACATACTAACACTTTTCTCCCAGTGAAATGCAAAAATGAAGGCTGAAATAAGAACCTAAATAAAAGTGATATGATGTATTCTTGATATACCTGCAAAAGTAATGTTAAATAAAATTTATCCGATTAATATTTATGGAGATTATGCTGTTTCATTGAACACAGTTTTTGTTGAGTGAAAACGTTTAAAGATTTGCCAAGGCCAGGGCGACCACAGACTTTTTCTGATGGAAACATAGCTGTAATTACAAAAATTGGAAATGTGATTTACTGTATATATACGTATACATTGTTGGGACATCATCGTCAAAAGAAAACAAAATTTTGACCAAGCACCCAAACCTTGCTACGCAATTTGTATACAGGGAATACCGCATCACTTGACATCAGAACAAAAGTCGACGCGTTTGAAATTTGACTGAAAACTTTCAAAATGTATTTTAAAAAAACTCTGACCGGAGAAAATTAGCGTGACTTGCTAAACGGCAATGAATCTTTCTTGAACCGCAAACTAAGATAAATTCTAAATATAGGGTAGGTTTCAACGAATGGTATCCTGTCACTGAACAAAAATGTCGGAAAACAATTTTTGCTTATTTTTGATTCTTTTGGGACCAGATCTGCAAATAATAACTCCGCAAGATCGAGGTATCTAGGGCCATTTAAAAAAAAAATAATGTACTAAAAAAATTAAAGTATATGAAAATACCATATTAAGATTTGACATCAATCTAATTAAAATTAGATTTTCCGATTCTGCTACAGTTTCTCACAATTATTTAATCATATCAATCTTCTTATACAGATTTTGTCTCTATTATTTATTCTAAGGCTTTCATTTTTGTATAATCCCTAGTGTAGTGTAGTGAACGAACCCTTGGGCAATGATATGATTTGCACTTATGTGTAATGAAGGTTTCACTTTTAAAACAAGTGCACATAAAGAACAGGGATCAGTCTAATTTTTGTAACAATTCAAACAAGTAATGGCCTAAAACACGAGCCTCTTGAAGTCCAAGAGGACGGATCAGTTGCTAAGGAGGAATAAGCTACCCCTATCGACCGGTTACGAGCGCCTCGGACACTATCAGGTATATAGGGACATTCCTTTGTCAATTTCAATATTAAAAACAACAAACATTGCTGTGAAACTAGGTATCCACTTTACGTCTCATTTAAAGTTTTATTTTCTAATAAGATCATTATAACAACCACAGAATTTTCGAAATAATGACTTTAAACAAGGTTGTTTAGATTCCAGTAAAATCAACTTGTGTGTGTATAACCTATTTTGGTTAAAAAGGTGTCCGTTCTCAATGCGTTCTTTTTTATCATAACTACTTTTTTTTCAAACCTTCCTCCCTTACAATTACTGTCAATGAGGTGAAGAGGAAGCTTGGAATTTTTTAGTCAAACAAACAAACAACTTCATCCGAAAATAAGCCATGAAACTGTAAAAGGTTATGTACTGCAACGTAAAGGACGACCCACTACATGTAATGTAAAAGTATATGTTTTAAAGCAAGAAGAACAGACAAAAACCCTTGCTCTGTAACTAAGTATAATTTCATTGCCGATGTAGTGTATTTCCGTCTATTGTGTTCTTCATTTTGTTATACACGTTTGACTTTAATAAAAGCAATTACTTCCGATATTAATTTGTTTATATAAATAGAAATATTTTGTATATAAGTGTGTTTTTATGTAGTCATTCTTGACATGTACTTAGGGATGCTTATAATGAAATGTTATTTTCTCAACATCAACTTTCCAATGAATGGCAATCATGACTTAACCTTTATAATATGAATCTCTAGATTTTTTGTCTACACCCCAAATATTGGAATTTTTCTCATGGATAATAATGTTAAATAATAATTCTCAGCTATCAATATAAATAATAATAATTGGGAGTTTTCCTCACATTGCATATTATATTTGTTTGCAGGGAAGTTTGTTACAGGAAATTTTCATTCACTGAGTGATTTACTATAATTTTTCTGTACCTATACACATTTGGCCAAAAATATAATAGATGTTAGGAAGCTTTACTATGTTATTGTGAAGTGTTTTACTTCAATTTATGCTAGGATCGAGTGCCTAGGAGGATCCTAAGCATCCTCTGTTGACCTGTCACACCCGCCGTAAGAATTATGTATAGAAAGAACGAGAAAGAAGTTAGGTTATTTTTTGCTAACAAGGTCACTAAAGAAAAGAATTTACGAAATGCCGAATTAGTTTAAAGATGATTTTAAATGGAATTGTGGAAATCCAGATAAAAATATTAAAGTTGATAATGCACGGGCAAATGTACAAACAAGCAGCACACGGCGTGTGTGACCGGTTGGCAAGGGATGCTCACTCCTCCATGGCACCTGATCCCACCTCTGATTTTTCAAGGGGCCGTGTTTGCTCTGCTCTTATTTCATATTATTTTATTTAGTACTTTGAGACTGAATACTGTTCGTTATTTCCTTATTTTTCTTATAAAAAATAATAATTTATTTTTTGCAAAAAAAAACATGATGCAGTAGGCATTATATCAAATTGCTTGATAACATCCATTTTCAAGCAGAAGTTTGCATGGTTATACAGAATATAATTTTCTTTTCATGTAATTCAGAAAGTAAACTTCCATTGACCTTTGATAAGTTTTTTTTTATATGTTTTTCTTTATTACGTACGAAAATGACTTTTGATTTGATGCTCTTTCCGTCATTTTCCTTTAGTAAATTGAAAGTTCCTTCCTTGTTCATCTTGTTTATCTGCCTGTGACCAACTGAGATAAAAATCTTTAACAGAGAGGCTATTAAGAATTCTTATTATTTGAATACTAGTAGTTTTAGCGTTTATGTGTAATTCCTTATATTTGTTGAAACTATGATTATTTATGTAATAAATTGTCAAATTGATAAGTCAGGTATAAAGCTTTAGAATTTATTGTAAGTCCAAAAATATGAATTTCACATATACAAATTAGAACAAATTTCGTAGATGGAACAAACTGAAATTTACAAAGAATTTCTTGAGATTTCTTAACTGAGTTTAACAAAGAATTGTCGATGTCTATTAGAATTCCCATGGGTACAAATTGTGCTCCTTATTAGCAGACTTATTTTTATATTCATATGAAGCAGAATTTATACAAAATCATATGCGTGAAAAGAAGAAAACACTTGCTGTGGCCTTCAACTCGACATTTAGATATATCGATGACGTATTGTCAATTGATAATGATAATTTCCATTCCTACGTCGACACGATATATCCTGGTGAGCTTTAGATAAAAGATACCACAGAGTCCGACACTTCTGCTTCATATTTGGATATTTTACTTGAAAAAGACACTAATGGTTATCTAACAACCAAGATATATGATAAACGTGATGACTTTCACTTTTCTGTCGTCAACTTCCCTCACTTATGCAGCAATATACCTTCATCACCTGCATACGGAGTATATATATCTCAGTTGATTCGATACGCAAGAGCATGCTCTACGTATGAACAATTTCTTAAACGACATAAATTATTGACAAGCAAGTTGATGCAACAAGAATATCAGCAGTCTCGTTTAAAGTCTTTATTTCGTAAGTTCTATGGTCGATACAATGGCCTTGTCAGCAAATACAATTTATCATTGAGTCAAATGCTGACTGACGTTTTTCATACCAATTGTCAGTCCATTATTTATAAACTGAATTGACGACCGATTTTTTTCATTATTTCCTGATCATGACAACGAACACACGGCGGGTGTGACCGGTCGGCAGGGGATACTCACTCCTCCATGGCATATATATATATATATATATATATATATATATATATATATATATATATATATATATATATATATATATATTATGACGCAAAGAAAATATATTTATATACTAAGCTAAAAAAGGTTTTTCAATTACTTCACAACCGCTTAAAGTATATTATAGACAAAAGTCTCATGTACTCTTTATTCATCATTTTCTAAACTAATGACATTTATAATTTTTCATAACCATTAATTAACGTTAAAGCCTACTATAACTTTTACATTACTTTTTGTTTCTTTGCATCAAAGCACTCTACAACATCAAAAAACAGCTGGAAGTAAAAGAGCATTGCAAAAGGAAACAGGAAAATTGAGGGGGGGTTTCTTTCTTCCTTTATAAAAGGTTTGTAACACTTCATGATCATTTAATTATATATTTAATTTAAAAAGAGAAAAATGTAGAAAAGTATATGACACTTTAAAATAAAAGTTAATGTATCTAAGCTTAAAGGTCAAAAGTCGATAATCAACGCATTTTACAGAAATCCTCTTTTATGTACTTAGGCTTTGAACACTATAAAACGTGTTGACTTTTTCCCAGGAACTCGTTAACCATTTCAATGCTTCCCTCTGTCTTCTGGAATCTCGTGTTATCATATTCAACATCATGGTCACTATCAAAATTGTCCTCATTTTCCGAAAACCCCTGGCTTATATCTATTTCTTTTGTAATTTCGAATTTTTTAGCTAAACTGTACCGATATTGGGGCTTCTTAACACTAGGATGCCTTCTCTCCCAACCTGCTTCATTTAGCTTATCGGGAATACTGTCTGTTGAGAATTCTGTTATTTCAGCATTGATTTCTATCATTTGTTTGGGGTTCCTGTTTCTTCCCGAATCTTCATCTCTGAAGGTTAGTGAAACTTCGTTTCTTTTTAGAATTTTCTTTGATCGACGTGGAGTGTATTTTCCTTGTTTTACAGAACCCGCTATGACATTTCTTTGGTTACGTTCTGCAATAAGATATATATATATATATATATATATATATATATATATATCTTATTGCAGAACGTAACCAAAGAAATGCAAACGATTTAGTTTATTGTATGCTAATTTCTTAGCTGAATTGTTTTTCATTGTATATTTTCTATTAAGTCTAAAATACCTGAAATCAATGGAATGTCTTTTCTTTTTCGACTGAAAAAGTTAAATAGACATCTGTGTTGAACTTGAAATATTTCAATTGTTTATAAGTGTGGTAGATGAGATTAAGCATATCATTAATGGAAAGAAACACTGCAACTTACCACACATGAAAGCAAAACAGAAATGCAATACATCCAAAGGACAAAATCATAAGCACGGAAGAACCAATAGCTAAAACCCAGGAATTCTTTTTAAGGAAGTTCTGCAAACCGTTGGTATCTGCAAAGGTTGAGAAAACCTTATAAGCCACTCTAATGCTAACAGTATATCTGCACACAATTATCTTAAAGATAGCAAAGATAGCACTTTAGATACATCGTCTTGATAATCTTGAAAAAAAACTCACAAATAGACGTATGGTTGTTGCATTGCCCTGTCACTTTATTACATGTAAGGTTGCATGGCAAGGGACATTTTGAATTACAAAGCCGTCCAAAGTAACCTTCTCGGCAAGGTTTGCTGCAGTTTATTCCATCTGTACCATCCTCACAAACTTTGAATGTGAAATATTAATTTATTTTTATCATTAACTAATAAGGTAATAATGATATTTTATGTATTGTAAAACTCAAAGTGAAATTTGGAATTTTTGAAGATACTGAATTTTTTCACTGTTTTGAATTTCTTTCCGTTTCATACTGTACCTCTGCATAAGCCATCTTTCATTCGGTAGCCTGAACAGCAAGAACTGGGTCTGAAAATAAAAGAAATACATGTACATTATTTGTAATACTGTTTAACAAGTATACGTTTCATCAACTTTAGTTTAAGGTTACATTAAGTTTGTCAGACATTGTATGTGAAGCAACATTGCAATACAAAAAATGTTTTAAAAAATATTACAGTTAGGTTAGAGCCTTATAATTACAAAGTTACAAAGTGACACGCACCCACACTTGCCGTCATTGCTGGTAGTCTGACAAAGTACAAAAGTAAAAGTTTGAGTAAAACACACAGAATACACAGCGTTTGGGAACCTCATTATTTTCATTTCTGACATGTCCGTTTAGATTCTCGGTAACAAAGTTAATTCGAGGAAAATAATTTACAATAATTTCTTCCTTTATAACTTTATTTAAGTTAAATAGATCATAGTACATCCTGTTAAAAATCAAAATTATAAATGGGATCAGAAGCGGAAGTCATTTTTCTCAACGAATGGTAACAGAATAGGCAAGGGAGAATGCAATTCACAGAATAAAAATATGTATATATAATTTTAAGATGATGTTGATGTTGAATTACAATTTTGCAACCTTGAAAACACACGTGTTGCATCTTAAATTTTCAGATTGATCGGGACTGTATGTAAAAGTAAAATAAAAACAAAGTCGTTTTGTGTAACAGAAATCTCTAGATATCAACAGTTTTTCTTTTTCTTGTTTTATAAAAAAGCCTATATTGATATAGGGAGCAGATTTTTTTCTCATTATTTGAACGTACCAAATATACAAAAATTGAATATTAAATCTCATTGTTCTGTGTTCATAATAAAATTTGATATAACAAATACTATGGAATCATCGTTGTTCGCTGTTAGTGTATTTTGTGGGTCACTCGTATCATGAATTTGCATCTCCAATGAGCATATTTTGTCTTTATATTTATTAATAATAGGATCATCTGAATATACGAGTTGTCCTCGAAATTACTATCTCACGAACCAAAAGAAAAGTGCTAACCAATAAACAACAATCCCAACGAATGATATAACAGTATGTTATTTATATATAACGCTTTTAAAATATCATGAAATTGTTAGCTTAATTAGAGTCGAATAAGAGATAAAAAACATATAATTTTCATTTTCTGTCTTATTGAAAATTTAAATTTATGGTATACTCTAAGATGATTATAAATAATCTCGAAAGACACAAAAAATTATAAATAGAAATGAAATGAATGGAGACAACAAACTGTATTTAAGGTAAAGATCCATACCATCCTATAGAAATAACGGAACTACAGATTTTGTTGAAACTTTTCAGAATCTTAACTGAGTATTTGTCCTTTCCAGATCAGTGTAAATTTTGGGGTCAACCGGGCCTCCTTTTGAAAGGATTGTTACTAAAAATAGACATTGTCTCGTGAAATGACGGAAATGCGGAAATTAAGATATTTATTCTAGCTTTCTAAAATTAAAAGCAAAAGAATTTTTTAACATATGAATCATAGAGAAAATATGCTTGTTTGAATGTTTAATTATTTTTTTAATCTGCTGATCCACCTAATATTACTTTCTAGGGCGAATTAAACATATTTAGCTCAAAATTATAAAGTTCATTACTAGTAAAAATAAATTGCTGCTTGATATTCTGACTACAGATTTCTTTTTAAAATTAACACATTATTTTCCAATGTTCTCTCCCTTATATGGCATAAAAATTAAGTGGGGCAGCGGGCATCAAACAAGAAAATTTCACATTTTTAAACCAAATTTGCTGAAAAATGATAATTTGAAAAATCTTTTTAACATCTATACTTTTAGGATTTGGGTGTAAAAATCGCTTTAAATAT